CCATGTAATAAGTTTTTGGTGCATTTGAAGGCTGTTCTACGGGGGCGAAGTACATTTTTGCCATCAATATTTGAAATCTGTCCCGTGAAATTGCTTCTTTTATTGCCAGATTTTGTAACGACTTTTTTTTGGACCAATAGTCAGATATAGCTGGTACACGATTGTAGCACATTATAAATGTACAACCCAAAACTATCATTATTTCTCCGTAATCAGTGTCCTTTACAGAACTACGATTACTCTTAGATGATCGATGAATTTCTAATCTTTGATTAGTGCATTGCGCGATGTATTTTATTGCACTTATTGGCATAAATCTTAAAAATACATCTGATTCAGTATGATAGCGAGATACTTTAGGACTCAATGTACATTTACGAATCTGCGAAATATCTTTTCTAGGTACAAAATTCATCGGCGGATCCATCCAAATATTAATATTATTTACAGGTATTTCAGCTTCTGTTGCAGATTCAACCGCTGCTACAGATTCAGTTGCTGTTGCAGATTCATCCGCTATTGTAGGTTCAGCTATTGTCGGAGGTTCAGCTGCTGACGCAGGTTCAGTTGCTACATCATCTCCTGTTATTAACGGAAATTCCTCATTATGTGAACCCGTATCAGATTCAGAAACATCTTCAAATTCAGAAATATCTTCAGATTCTTCATCTAGTTGCGACGGGGCGTATAAATCATCAGATCCGTCAGAAAAATCAGCCTCAGAACTATCTTCTTCCAATTCTTGTTCTATTTCATGTGGTTTCATTGATTTTCTTGCCATTTTGTAATTATACCTCTTAAAATAATCAATTGTAATCACACAATTTGGCTAAGTTGAAATTGTACATATAAATTTCCGATTGATTAAAAAGTCTGCTGGGATACAAATAGCCCGTTGTAAAATACTGCTGGGATATTTTAATCCCACATATACTAAAATTGTACAAAAACCACCCTAAAAACCAAAATAACTTACCTTTTTTACGAAAACTATAACAGAGAACACTTTTATTTTAAATTTGCACTTGTTCTTTATCACTTATCACTTTTTTTTTTAAAATATTGAACTAAATTATTCCTCCGATGTGAATCAAACCGCCAATAAAAGCCAACTGTCAAAAACCTATTTATTTTTTTGAATGAAAATGATCGATAATGCAGTCAGGAACTTATAAAATACGTTTTGGTAAACTTTTATCCCGAAATAAATACATATTTTGCTTATCCGACTTTTTTAAAAAATGTGTGGGATAAAAATATCCCAGGAGTAGTGAAACGGTTAAAGCTATATATAGGGATTAAATATCAACAGTTTCTGAGATATAGGGATTTTAACAAATTTCGATTTGCCCAAATTTTTTCCCTTATCATTTCCGTTTCGGAAAATTTCAATAAAACAACAATATATGTAATTAAAAAATTATTTTACGTTTAAGAATTTAAGTACCTTCATTATGTGTATAACAATTTCAGATGTTTATAACCAATAAATCGTAAATTTAAAATAAAATTTCACCTATAAATTTTATAAATTCTTTAATAAATAAAATTAAAAAAATGAAAATCCTTTTTATCTTTTACTATTATCAAAAGAAACATAAAACTTAGGTAAAAAAATTTTTTTGTCATCTAAAAATTTTTTTTTGAAATTTTTTAAATAGAAAAAAAAAAAAGTAAAATTTCAAATCTAAAGAAGAAAATTTTGTTCGCATTCCAAAACTTTTGATCTTCTTTTTTCGTTCTCCTCCAACATTGCTTTTATTGCTTCTTTTGAATTATTTAAGTACCTTTATTTTATATCTTCTAGTCACATTATACATATAGATTTTCCTTTTAGTCATCGTTATTTTGTGGTATTTTCTTTACTTTATCATTATTGTTATTGTTCTTACCAAAAAATTTTCTTTCTTTTTTTTTTAAATCAGGAAAACAAGGAATTCTTGTTTTTGTTTTTTTTTTGAAATTTGCAAATTTAACAAAATCTAACCTCATTTATTGATCATCTCATATATCTTTCTTTCAAATAGCATACCTATAGGTATGTTCATACCTGTATCTATATATGATATATGGCAATATGTAAGTTATGAATAAACATTTATTCATGTATAATGTCATCGTAAATACCGTTATATGTAAACGGTGAATAATATAATATATTATGTGTGATTTTCATTTTACTATAAAAGTATCTAAAGCATAAAATATTAGATTGAGGTACTTTTTTTTCATTTTTTTGAATAATCATATACCAATAAGTTGTCATCACCCATACTATATCCATATATAATGGATGTCTACCGAATACCGCACCTCCCTATATACGAAAATACATTTTATTTACCACACTTTCTTATATATACGAGTATGAGACGATAACGTCGCCAAAATTAATACTATGCGGATATAAAATTGAAATAATGTTAAATTTTTTTATATAGAACGCATTTTTATATAAAAGTATTTACTACTGTATATACCATTATTATATATGTATATATATTACATATGTATATTGCATTGTATACCTATAATATATTTGTTCACGTACACAACAAAAAAAAATAGAAGATTACATTCTGTTACCTTAAAAATATTTTAAAAACTTCAATAATAATATTCAAACAAAAAAAAAGTAAATATCTGAAATTGTAACAAAAATAAAAAAAAAAATCCCCAATATTCTCATTTTTACCCATCATCATCAACACCCCACATCGCATTTCAACCCATGTACGTATATATGAGTGTATGTTATTCGATTTATTACTCAAGGGTGTAATCATCTCATTTTTGTAATATAAAATATGCTAACAAAGCGATACCACCGATAAAAAGAGAAAATTCTATAGAAAAATAAAATAAATAGCATTTTAAAAATATACATATTTGACAGTCAGTCATAAAATAAGCGAATCAAATTAATAATATTGTATTCAGATTTATAATTCAGATTTATTATTAAAATTCAGCCATGATAACATTAAGTAAGAACGAAAACCATTTAGAAAACAGAGTATAGAATATGTGAAAATTATTTATAGTAGATTAGATCCTTGATGTTCACTTAATTTTTATATTGAATTTATTTAATTTAATATTAATTTTTAGAGAAATATCAATAATAGGACGAGGGTTTTCGTTTATTCAGTTCTAGAATAGTTCTAACTAGAATAGTACGTTCGAAAATTCATGCTACGTACACTGAAAATATAGATCGTTCTGAAATTACTGGCTGCAATAAAGTATATTCGGAAATTTAATCTGCAATAAAGAAATGTTAGAAATGTAGCGCAGACCTCTAGTATTAATTTTGTCCCTGCTTCATGAAATTTTTTTTTTTTTTTTAATTTAAAATTCAAAAAAAAATTTAAAATTTCAAAATGACAGATTCAAATACTGAAGAGTTATTAAAGTAAGTTTTCTTTAAGTGTTCAAATCTTGATAAAATTTCCTTATTTTGCAGTGCAATTGGGAGGCGAAAAGTATTCGGATACAATTTCATAAACAATGTCATTTCTGTTATTTTCAAACGATAGATTATTTAGAAGTTTCAGAATTTGTAGACTGCGTTAACAAAACAAGCTTAGTTAAAGTTTTTGAATACTGTTGCAATTTAGAAATTTTAGTTCTAATATAGAACCTTCAACGCAGCGTGCATAAACGAAAACCGCCGACGTATGGTAAGAAGTTGATTTTTTAAGTACAATAGATTTTTAGAACTCTCATTTCAGTTTTGAATTTTCAAAGACCCTTGACGCTAATGTTTCGTAACTTTAAAATGCTTATCACAAGCTCTTTATTTAATTACTAACTTTTTATTTTCACACTCACTATTTTTCTACTCACCTCCTCGTCAAAAAATTCTTTCAGTAAAATTACCTACATTTCCTTTTCATTTCATTTTTGATTTTTCATTTTACTTTTTTTTTTGTACCTTCTCTAGAAACCTCATTTCTTTCTTTTTCTTATCATCACCATTTTGTCTAACCGCGTTAAAATTTTTTTTTTTATTTTCTCTTTTATTATTGTATAACTTTTATACAACACCATCCATCCCCTATTATTATAATCAAAAGCATCCCAAACAAATAGAAAAACAAAAAAGAAAATTTTCCATAATATTTTTCCAACTCGATTTCAGTATGATTTCACATAAAGAGGAAAAATCGAGTTTATTCCCCTTTTGTCCTTGGAAAAAATGTAATAATTTTACAAAATAAAAGAAAAAAAAGCAAACATTTATGTAAAGAAAACAAATCGACTTTATTTGCACCGACATCAAAAAAGGAAAGGAAAATCAAGTATGTATAAAGAAAATTCATTTCTATAAGAATTTTCATTCGAAAGTGAACTAAATATTTTAAATTTTACACACAAACCTACCATATTACTCGTACTTATATAAATATAGAACAGAATTTTCTTTTCATTTAAGTGAACCATAAATATTTTATAGTGGAGCATAGTTAAAATTCCTCCACCGATATTGTAATTCAGTTGATCTCTTTTGAAAAACGATTACCTACTTATGATTATCTCAGTTGTTTTGTTAATTATTATATTGAAAGTGCTTTTATCTTAGATTATACTTTGAGATTTCAAAGATTAAAGCAATGAAATACGTATTATATTGAATGGTACATGTGATGTATATGTAGCCCCAACAATATTAAAAATAATTCACCGTTTGAGATTCATAAAATGCATGACATAAGTATTGTGTGTAAAACTGAATTATGCGATTAACATGGACACGTTTGGATTTTCCACTATCCAAATCAAAAAGCGGCATTTAAATTTCGACATATGTGATTGGTAAATTAAGGTTGTGAACGAGAAAGTTAAAATATTATATTGTACAATACCGCAAAACTCGGCGAATGAAACATATCAGACTTTTAATAAATATATACTTTCCACATATATTTCTGCAATATTATTAGATTATAAAGTTTAAAAATTTTGAAACCAACAAAAGCTAAATAAAATACTCAACTTTAATGGAAAAAAACACGATGATCATTAATATCTTTTTCATCGAAAAACAATTTAAATTTTGTAACTCTCAATTTTTCACATTAATTCCATTTTCAACAATTTCACTTTCAAGTTCTTTATAATCAAGTTCTAATGTAGCCAAATTTTCTCTAGCTTCAGAAAATTCATCAACTTCCATACCTTCAGAAACATACCAATGTACAAAAGCTTTTTTCGTAAACATTAAATCAAATTTATAATCTAATCTTGACCATGCATCAGCTATTGCTGTTGTTGATGCTAACATACTAACACCACGTTGTACTGGAGCTAAATTATCATTTGGTACAACACTTGGATTTTTATAATTAATACCAATTTTAAAACCAGTTGGACACCAATCAACAAATTTTATATTTTTTGTATCTTTAATTGTTGCTATGGCACTATTAATATCTTTTGGTACAACATCACCTCTATATAAAATACAACAAGCCATATATTTACTATCAATTGGATTACATTTAACCATTTGATTATCTTGTTCAAATAATTCCATTGTTAATTCATTAATAGATAATGATTCATGATTAGTTTTTTCTATTGGTAAAAATGGAGCATATGATGCTACTGGAAAATGTATTCTTGGATATGGTACTAAATTTGTTTGAAATTCTGTCATATCAACATTTAGTACACCTTGAAAACGTAATGATGCTGTTATACTAGATACAACTTGACTCATTAAACGATTCAAATGCATATAATGTGGTCTATCAACATTTAAACGTTTATTACAGATATCATAAATAGCTTGATTGTCCACAATAAAAGCAATATCTGATGTATCTAATGTACAATGTGTTGTTAAAATTGAATTATATGGTTCAACAACTGATGTTGATATTGTTGGTGCTGGATATACAACGAATTGAAGTTTACATTTTTTTGGAAAAATTTCAGATAATCGATCCATAAGTAAGGCAGTAAAACCAGAACCAGTACCACCACCAAATGAATGAAAAAGGAAAAAACCTTGCAAACTATTTGATTGTTCGGCAAGCTTTCTAATACGATTTATAACAGGATCTATCATATCTTTACCAATAGTATTAAAACCTCGAGCAAAATTATTTGCTGCATCTTCTTTTCCACTTATCAATTGTTCTGGATGAAAAAGATCTTTAAAATCTCCCGTACGAATTTCGTCTATATTTTATTATAAAAATAAATATAATAAATTTTTAAATGAAAATCAGTTAATCTTAAAATGTATTTTTACCAATAACTAACGGTTCCATATCAATAAAAATGCTACGAGGTACATTTTTCCCTTTAGGAGTTTCTAAAAAAAATGTTGAGTAACAATCATCTGTATTACAGGATTTCAATGATCCATCTTTTTCAATTCCATGTTCTATACAATATAATTCCCATGTTGTATTACCAATTTGGCATCCAGCTTGACCAATATGTAATGAAATTGTTTCACGCTGACAAAATACCTACATATGTATAACCAAAATATTTTGAATTACGTAATTTTAATGCAAGACATCCATTAAACTTACCATTATTCTGTTTAAACTATAAATAAAATTTGAAGTTTTTGATCTAAATTTATAATACAACGATTAATTTAGATTAACTATTAATTTTTCTTTAAATTTTGGCGAATACTAGAAAATTTTTTACAAGAAATTTTGGAACAAAATCTCTTCTTTTTTATATTAAAAAGCAATTTTAAATGAAATAATAATTAATTTTCTGAAATAATATAAAAAATCTTGGAAAACTAGATTTGGAAAAAAAATATTTTCAAAATTTATGAATGAAAAAGGTTTTTCAAAATTACAAACAAATAAACAATAAAAATAGACGCTGGACGTAATTTTTGTATAAGTTCGTGCAGCACAAATTGAACAAAATTTATAAAAGATTTTAAAATAGGAAGAACAATTTTGATTTACAAATTCAATTTTAATCAATTGAATATACGGCGCCTATATTTAATTAAAATTTTTTTAAATTTCAAAAGCAAATTTTTATATTTCATTTATGTGTATTTTGCAGTTCAACCTCCTATTAAATATTTATTATTTCAATGATATTTCATAATAACAACAAAAATCGTCACTGATGAGAGAATATCAGGGCTGTATTACACCATCCACTTTTTACTTTTATTTTTAAACAATTAGTCAAGAAATTTGTAAGAGTTATCTTTGCAAATTTGTAATGAACATTACTAATACAAAATAGAATTAAAAGGAAAAGTAAAAGTGATTATGCAATACGGCCCAGACCTCTAACATAAATATCATTAATTAATTGATTTTTCATAAAAATTATTAAAAAAAATTCTTATTTTATTTTATGTAATACTCTTTATTTTTTTTTATTTTTTTGTAATACTTTTTCGCTTTCTGTTCTTTTTTGATTATAATTGTATTTTTTAATTTTAATAGTTGAGCACATAATATATATATTTCTAGTATGTAATAGTATATAATAATTAGTATATTATTTCTTAATAAAAATTTTATCTATATCTAATATTAATTTTCAAGAATTCATTCTATAAGTATATATAAAATATAAAACTATATTTAAAAACGAAAATTGTAAATTTTTATATTTTGTAAAAAATATATTTTTAAAAAATTAAATATAAAATTAATATATAATATAATTCCTATATAGACTATTTAAAAAAAAAAAAAGGGAAAATAATAAAACAATAAAACTAATATAAAATTGTTATTTGGTACAAATTAAATTTAATGTTTTCTTCTAGTTTTTCTAGTTAACGTTCTTTAAAAATAAATGCTTTTAGATTTGAAATGATATTATTATTATTTCTTACATGATAAATCTATAGAGCAATTTTATATTTCATTTTTAATTTGAATACTGTTTGAATATTAAAAATTTAATTAAAATAAATAATTTTTTTTTTATTTTGTAAATATTGCTATTAAATTCATTAATAAATTATAATATATTAATTATAATTTTAAATATTGATGAAATGACAATATAAAATTAAAATCAAAAACGATATTTAATAAAATGCTTTAATAATATCAAAATAATCTAAATTTATAATATTATAAATTTTTCAATACAAAAAAATTATTTCATAATAAATAAATGATTTTAAATAATGTTTGATTATATTTTTGAGCTCTATATTTTTAATATGATTTAAATAAAAACTAATGTAGCATTTAATAAATATGAAATTTATAATGAAAAATAAATTAAAAATAAATAAGATCATTTAAAGAAAAACTAAACATTTGAATAAAAACTACAAGACGAGATCACAAAATTTACGTCATACCATTAAAAAAGTTTTAAAATATTTTCTAAATAATTTGAAAATTTTCATTTAAGATACAAAAATTATTATCATGTAAGCATTTAACATAAGAAATAACATTTTTAAAAAGAATATACCAGACAAAACACAAATTAATTTGGCACCTATTTCTTATTTTCTATTTTCTTTCCATCTCTGTTAAATAACAGTTTGTAAAATATTAAAATAAATGGAATTATAAATTATAAAATTTGTAAAAAAAAAAATTGTAAATTGTAAAATAATAATAAACTAATTTTAAAATATAATAGCTATTTACTATAATCTAACATTTTACTTATAATAAAAATAAATTTCAAATAATATTGTAAAAAAAAAAAAAAAACTCTTGAAACAGGAATAGTTGGCAGCGCATAATTTTTATAAACGTATGCAATAATTATATAATATCTATATAATTATGTATATATATATTAATATAAATTTAAATATAATATTATATAATATGTTTTCTTTTCTGAATGCATTATAGATTTTTATCAAGTGTATAACCATCTAATATATTTATTTAATTAACTTTTTATACTTTAATTTTTTTTAAATATTATATTTTAGTTTAAATAAAATATTTAATTTTTTTTTTTCTTCTTCCCATTTTATGATTTATTATCCATTTAATTTTCGTTAAGTCTCATTATCATCAGAATTTTCATCATCTTGTTCATCAAGTAATAAACTAGTAGAACCATAATTACGGAGTCTAAAATTCAAAAATAAAAAATAATAATATTAATATTATTATAATATACTTAAATAATATTAATAAATGTTTAATTATTTTGTATTATTTAAAAATAAAAATGAATGATATAACCATTTTCAAACCATACGAGTGATTTATTTCAATTTGTTTTTTTTTTGAAAAGCCAATTCAAACAGCAATATTGTACAAAAAAAACAACAAAATAAACGTAAATAAAATTAAATAATTTATAAAATAAGACGGACAATGAAAATTATAATTTATAAATAATAACAAAAATACGTGCCTAAAAAATTTTAATCAATTCAGTGAATAAAAATCTACAAAATTGAAAAATTTTACAACTACTTACTATTTTTTTAGTTTGAAATATTATTAAAAATAAACGCAAAAATTAACATATTTGATTTTTGTTAATTGAATAAACAAAAATTAAATAACTTGTTTTAACTGAAATTATATTTATATTTAAATTTAAAATTATTTCTATTATAGTTTTTACAATTTTTCAACAACGGTTGATTTCTTATTTAATTTTACAAATGTTAGGACTTGTTTCAAAAAATACTTTGATGTAAGTAATGAAAAAATTAAAAATTGCAAAATTTGCATTTAAAACAGTATGAACAATTTCAGAAAGAAAAAACAATAAATCAATTCTAAAAAAAAAAAATAATATGTAACTTAATATTTTATTTTAAATTTTGATGCGGTTAAGGCATCATATTCTTACGAAAATATTATGATGCTTGAGTTCACAAAAAGTTCAATTCATTTTCGAAAACTATTCCTAGTTAAACATTTTTAAAACATTACTTAATCAATTTTTGAAATGAAAATTAAAATTAAATTATTGCGCTTTTAAAAAATTTAATTGGAAATTAATTATAATAATAGTAATGGAAAGTTTTATTTTATAAAATACATACATACTTAATTGAAATATTCAAGTAAATCCTTTAAAATATTACATATGTACATTAATAATCTTAAATATTTTGAAGAATATAATGTAATTAAAAACATAATTATGTACAATATTTTTAAATAATTTATTATTACATTCAATTATAATTTACGTTTTTTCAATAGGAATTTCAATAGGAAGGATAATTATCATGAATATTAAATAATCACAAAATCAATCGAACGGACTCAAAATAAACTCCTATAATACTTTCAATAAAAAATTAATAAGCTTAGTAATAAAAGATTTCAACTCTTGTTGGTTACTACAATATAAATTGTTAAATAAAAATTATTAAAAAAAAATAATAATCATAAAATTTTATATTTTAATATTTCTATTTTAATTTATAAAATAACAAACAAATCAATAATTAAATTAAATAAAATTCAATTGAAATCTAAATATTTAATTAAAAATATTTATCAAAATCAAATACTATAAAATCTTTTCTGCTTTTATTACAATTCATAATTTGGGATAAAAATAAAAATTTAAACTATTTAAAAATGTACATTATGTAAACAAAATTCATACATACAATTAATACTTAAACCGAACACAACAAAAAATATTATTTTTAAATGTAACAAAAAAAAAAAATTTAATAAAAATAAATTTTAAAGTAAAAATTACAAATTTTAATTTTATTGATAAATTATTTTTCTTTTTTGGTTTTTATATCATTCACTCAGATGATATTGAAAATTGTAACAAAAATTATGAATTAATGATTTATTAACCAATCCTGAAAGAACCAATTAATTTCCATATTAATAAAAAAATAAATAAAACAAAAATGAAAAACAGATAACAATTTTGCAAAATAATTTTGTTTTTAAATAAAAAATTCTTATTTAAAATATCGAAAATGCATTTTTGATTTCTTTTTTTTATGAAAAACTAAGTACATATGTTGATATTCTTTTTTTTTTTTCTTTTTGGCTAATATAATGTCTTACGTAAAAAAACTCCAAAATCACACAGTGCAAAATATATTATGAGACAATAAATTTAAACGTAAAATTCAAATCAATCCACTGGATTCCAAGATCGACTTACATCATCATCAGAAATTTTAAGTCCATCTAAATTAATGCTGTTACGTGAATAACCATCTTTTTTGATTTGTTGATTATGTCTTGAATGATCATCAAAAAATTGTATAGCATCATTTAAACTTTGTGGTGCACCATTACCACTTAAAACTGAATTATTACTTAACATTGCACTTGCATTTAAACCATCTGAATTTCTTTTTGATGATGATGAGCCACCAGATGAAGTAATAATACCACCTGCTTTAAAATTACCAGAAAATTTATTATGTGATGATGATGATACTGATGATGTTCTTTCATGTTGATCACGTTCAAATTTTTGTTTAGCACGCTCAAATTCAAAGTAACGCTGTTTTGATTCAAATATATTATCCTCCAAATGTGTTTGTTTTGCATCAAAATAATTTTGTGTTAAACTTGTTGATCGTTCATGATGATGATGATTGTTATGTTGTATATGTTGTGAATGTTGGTTATGTTGCCCAATTGAACTGGAAGTATTAGCAACACCACCGTTACTACTTGAAACATGATTAAGTAGGCTACGATTACTGTTATTGCTCTGATAACTATGTCCCGAATGGCCATGTAAATTGCTATGCCGTGAACCATCATCAAAAAGTTGACGTAAATCATTAATACTTGGTTTACATGGTTCATTGCTAGAAGATTTCATGCTTGATGAATAATGTAAATTTGAACGATGGGATGGACTTATTGGACGACTATTTCATTTAATTTACGATATTGTGAATTATATTTTTTTTTACAAATATGAGATATAATGAAAGGCAGATTTTTAAATAGCAGCGTCCAAAAGTGATTATATTATGTACATATAAATTTAAATTTTGATATTGGAAATGTTATAAAACTCATACTTACATGTTTCCTTAAAACTGAGAAAAATTTATCTAAGAAAGCGAGAATTCCGTTTTCTTAATTAATTTAAATCTAAAGAATATTTACGGTATCTCGCTTTTCTTGACTTGTGTAATTTAAAATTCTGTTTTTTATAAAACAATTACCGTGTTTGTAAATGTTGAATCTGAACTTGAAGTCCCTCAGATTGTCCGCTCAATTCTTCATTAGTTCTTTGTAAACGACGAACTTGGTTATGGGCAGAATCTAGTTCATCTTCAGCTACAGCCAGTTCACGTTTTAACTCTTCTACTCTTGTTCTAAGCCTTTTCACCTTCACAATTAATAAATAAATTAAAAATATTGTAAAACAACAATTAATCAAACATATTTGATTATGGAATACCTCCCCTTCATATTGTTCTGCACGTCTTACAGCATGACCTAATTCGGTATTAGCTTCAGACAATAATTTTTTTAACTTGGAATGCGAAAGCTTAATTTCTCCAATTTCCTAAAATCAAAAATTAAAACATATAATTATGAACCTTGCATGAAATAAACAAACTGACCTTGTTCCTTTCAGCCAATTCTTGTTGCAATGCTCTGTACTCCATATCAGAAGCTTGAAGGGGTTGTCGTCCTTTTCGATCAGAACGTTCCTTAAAAACTCAAATTTAATTTTGAAATATATAAAAAATTTTATAGTATCTACTTGAAAATCTCTTAATTCTGCTCTTAGCTTTTTGTTGTCTCTTTCCATTGCCAATTTTTCAGTTTCTAAGCGTTCACGTTTTCCCCATTCAGAAGCATTTTCCGCTTGCAGTCTTTCAAGCTTTTTATTAGGAAAAAATAAAACAAATATGAATTTTTTTAAAATGATAGAACATAAAATTTACCTCTGTTCTCAATTCACATAATCTCCTTTCGAGGTTTTCTCTCGAAGTTGTTTCTTCTTGCAATGAGTTATTTAAAATTCTTACTTCAGCTCTATGTTGCTCTTGTAATGTAAGTAGCTCGCGTACAGCTTCCTGAAAGTAAAAAACATTTTTTAACTTCTTGTACTCTTTTAAATTCTTTGTATTACTTGTTTTGCTTGTCTAAGTTCTTCCTGTTTATCACGAACTTCTTGTAGTTCAAGAGAAAGTTTTTCCAAGTCTTTATGTAATGAATTTTTTTCCCTTTAAAATCGAAATAAAGAATTTAAAAATTTTAGCAAAAAAACTTTAAAATATAAGAAAGTATTACTCTCTCTCAATTTGTATCGTCTTTTGTGTTTCGTCAAGACGAAGTTGCAGCATTGAAATTTTTTGTAATAAATATTCTTCATCAAAATCATCTTTGGACAACTGTTGTATTAAACGTTTTTCTTCGGCAGATTCTTCCTCTAATAGTTCTGAGACACTTTTTGGTACCGATCTTTGGGATACAAATTCCTCAATGTCCACATCCTTTGTTTCGCTGTTGCTTGCTGCAGCTTTTGTAACCTGAGAAAAGATTGTAACAAAATGGAAAGTGCAAAAAATAATTACGTTTTTTTCTTACAAGGCCGTCTTCACTATTAACATTTTTTAAGCCTTCAGTTGATATATCAGGAGAACGATTGTCGCGTTCAGGCTCTTCACCATTTTCTGGTCTAAGAATTTTAAAGGTATAATTTTAGTAGCAAAATTAACTTTTTCTTCTAATTTTATATATTTTTTTACCCAGGCTTATGAAATTGACCAGCATGTTTCATCATTAGCATATGAACTTTTTCCATTTCCTTCTTCAATTGAGTTATTTGAATTTCAAGATCATTTTTTTCGCGTTTATAGGAATTAGCTTCCTTGATTGCAGCTTCAAGACTGGTTCGAAGTTGTTTCGCTTCTTCTCTTGCTTTATTTCGTTCATTACGTACCTAAAATTATTTTTCAAATATTAAAATAAAAAAAAATTAAAATTATCTTGACTAACTTCCATTTTCTTCTTACGTTAAACTAAAATACATTAGTAACAATAAAATTGTCATAGAAATTAGGAAGCAAATATTTTACTATAGTAGTATAATATTACATTTGCAAACCGCATTATGTGATAAAATTATTTAGAAATGAACTTTATACTTTTAACCTTTTTAATGTCGAATATAATATCTATGACAACATATAATTATATCTAAGTGACTGAATATCGAAAGTTTGTTTCAAATAAACAATAAAAAAGTCATAAGAACAAATAGAGTCATAATATAAAATTATATATAATTTTTAAAAATTTAGAACTTTGAGCAAAATTTCGATATAAGGCCCAGATAGCAACTGAAAATATCAAAGTACTATTTAACACCTTTGACCATTTTTCTCTCCAATTTGCGGTACAATCACTCCACCATTTCATTGTTTTCTCCATCTGTGCAGCCCTTGCTCTTGCCTAAAAATCCGATTAAAAATCAATAAGTATATTGTAAGTCTCTGTAAAAATGTAATATAAGATCTTACTTCCTCCAGCTCTCGCTGACGTTGAGACTAAAAAGAAAATTATATTAAAAAAAAATTGAAAATCTTAAAATAAATTTGAAAATTACTTCTCTAGCTTCCCATTCCGTCCCACTAAGATCTGCATGGCGCCGGGGACCACCTGTAACAATAATATCGATTTTTACATTATCGTTTTAAATAATTTTTGTATGTGTATCTATGCTATCACTTAAAAATTTAAGCAATATGCTAGAATTTTTATTTAGTATATAAGCATTCGCATTCTAACATATGTATCTAAAAATTATCTATAAATTTTATTTTCTGAATTGTTTTATATCCGAATCGAAGAGCACCAATGCATATTTTCAGACTGTTTTTTTTTGTCCATGTTATTTTACAACCTTACCCAAACTAGCACCTCCACTTTGAATTTGGGACATTATTTGAAGTAATTTTTAAATACTTTTAAGTTATTAATATTTTTTTTGTGGATCGAATCCACAAAATTTATTTAAAAATTATTCTCAATCCAACTATAAAAATATAAACAAAAATATTGCAGAATTATGAAGTCCATTAGAGTCACTTTAAATTTGACTAATCAAATTTGTATGAAGAATTTCGAAATTCGAAGTTTGACGTTAATATCCTACAATTTGTCAGAATTTTGTATGAGCTGTAGATTGAACTGTAAGCAAGAATAATAAATTATGTATGAATGATTGTCTGATTCTTATAATTTACTTAAGGCGGATTGAGTATTTGACTTAAAATTTCAACCTATCTATATACTATACAGATTAAAATAATTTTACTTGAAATCGATTTGAATTTGACATTAACTGAATAAACTAAGAAGTGTAATTTTTATTATCAAACTATGATTTAACAAAGTTGTAACTGAATAGTGAATGAGATAGAAATTGGTTTAGGATATGGTTTATAATTTATTACAGATATATTCCATGCTTCAAAATTTGTTGCGCGATCCAACGACAACATACAAATGGTTGACGGCCATATCTCACAAAAATACCATTCAGCACATTAAAATTAATCGATTGAATGATATTTTTGTGCGAAGTGACCGTCAACCCTCTAAAAAAATTATAATTATATCAAGTATGCCTCAATCAAAGATTTTTCATAACTTTTTGAAAACTTTATCATGCCAAAAGTGCACTTGAAGTAATCTTTAAGAAGCTTAATGCAAAATAAAAATACGATTTGGCATTAAAAATACCAAAGATTTCCGTATTGAATGATTAAAAATTTTTTTTCTCTTCAATAAATTTCTCCCTGATGACGTCATATTTCTAAATTTCAATGCTACTCAACAGGCCTTGTGAATTTTTATCGATATATCTCGATGTCAAAGTAGAAGATGTCATGCAAAACCTCCCGGGAAATCGTTTGTTAAATTATTAGGAAACATTTGAAAAGTAAACAATTTACAAAATATATAATTTGCATGTTTCAAAATATTCAAAATGCAAGAAGAAGAAAGTGCGGCTACCTTTAACGTTATAGATGATTTAATGAGAAAATCTGGTATCGTCGGACGCTGGATAAATAGCAATAAATTGTCAGTTTGTGGTTATAAACATATTTTTGCATCATCTATAGACAAACCATCAGAATTTGCAAATCTAGAACCTGTTAATATATTTCATCTTCAGCCAGAATTTATTTACGAAGATTCTATTTTACGAAGCCTTGTAGCTGAAGCTAATAGTATATTTTTAGCTGCCCACGAAATTAAGAATCCTCAAAAAAATGATTATATTAAGATTTCGCGCACCTACCGGTGTGTCATTCGAGCGTGTCTTGAAAAGTTAAATGAAGAACTTCAAATTGAAACAGATGATAAAAATAAGACTAAACTCCAAAATTTTGTAACAATTTTTTATAGCATAGAATGTGTGTGGCATTTATGTGAAATTCTATTTATTGAGTCTTCAACATCAAATATTGTAGTTCCGCAACTTCTAGAATGGATTCGCTTTCACTTTCCAACTTACGAGCGACAGGCTACTGATTTACTTTTGCAAGGTCATGAATCCGGAAATCAAGATAATTATTGGCAAACAATTAAAGGGTTAATACTTCAAGGGCAAGTGGATGTTGCTCGCGCTATATTAAAACTCAATACATCTTATTCTACAAGTTCTTTCACAGTAGCAGAGCAAATTCTTAAATCTATGCCAAAATTTAATGCTGGTGGGTTATCTGTGCAGAAATTTAAATCTCAATGGCAATATTGGCTAACTGACACAGAATTGAAATTATCTTCTGGATGCATGTCAGCTGAACCTGAATTAGAAGAAATCATTAGAATTGTAATTGGCCACACAGAGACATGGGATGAAATCATCAATTCTTCAAAATATTGGTACGAGTTTTTGCCAGGCTTCTTATTTTACACGGAGCCAGCTTGTAAATATTTTGAACTGGGAACTTTAGCAAACTGTTGGCTAAACCGTTATGCAAATGTAAGAAATTGTAGTGAAACTGGATTTCTTAAACAGCTCGATCATGTCATATTAAATGTAATGGAAAATGATATCATAAACATAATATTTGCTATTCAAAAAATTGGCGATAATTTGTGGTTTGCAACACACTTAACTGATTTGTTATATCTTTCTGGACAACTCCAAATAAATGGAGAAAATCAGGAAAACGATGGCAAAAAATTAAGGGATTCGTTTCTTTTTGAATTTGGTTCTGCACTAATGGGAAGAGAGTCGCTTTGGATGCTTGGAATTGATTATTTGAAACATTGTAACGCTGAAGAACGTAATATCATTAAATTGCTATTATTAAAAGTGCCCAATCGGAATGAGTACCAGGCTATGAAAGTAATAAATACGGCAAAAAAATTAAAAATCCTGGAATATATCGAACCAGAAGTAAGTAAGGTTCAAGCAAGAAAATCCATAGAATTGAATCGTTATGGTAATGCCTTAGAATGGGCTATAAGATCAAAAGATTCTGTATTTATCACGTCCATAGCTGACCATTTTCTGAATCATTATTCCAATACTGGAGATATGTTATGTCCTGATGTAGTTGCAAATGTAGGTGCAAAAATGTTTGTTTCACCCAGATTAGTTTTCTTGGTTAAATATTTTGAATTCCATCAGCACTATCAAAGAAAAGAATTTATACAAGCCGCCGAACTTTTAGTAAATTTATTGGATTCTCAAATAACTCCAGAATATTTTTGGCCAACATTATTATTTGATGCAGTACCCCTCTTGGAGTCAAAGGATCCAAAAATTCCGTCGAGAGAGACTTGCATTATTTTACAACATTTAGAAACAAATTTAATTCCACTCATTGAAAAGAGACGGCATTTAGAAAATCCAAAGATTTTTAAAGATTATCGTATTGAAAATATTGAAGAAATAGTTAAGTTATTACGTTTGGCTTGCGCTCGTAATTTGGCAAGAGCATTAGTCATTGAAAATACCGTAATTGTTTAGATTTTAATACCTCATGAAATAAAATTTTTAACCATGAAATAAATATATGTATACGATTTTCATTTGATTATTATTCAAAATTTCTCGAAGTCTAGATTAAACATCGGCATTTCGATATTTTCGATAAACATAGTTTTTAGAGCACCCTAAGACTAAAAGAAAAGAGAATACCTTAAAAAAGTCTTTATCTAAATTAAACAACTAGTTTATTAGTATGAATATACAAATAACATTTTAACATATAAAATTAAATTTTTTTTAAAATCCTAAAGTTTTTCCATTTTAACATATTTATTAAAGTTCTGTACATATTATGATTATTCAACAATTTTTTTTTGTTTTATGTATACATACATACGTTGATACATAAATTCGAAGACATATTTATTTCATTAACGTTTCAGCTTTAATTGAACCTTTAGGACACTCAATTTCTCTTTTACATTGAATAATTTTGAGCTCTTTGTCCTGCGGTTGAATATTTCGTTTTCCACTTTTTACTTCATTCGGCATAGATTCCAAAGTTTTTTGAATTACAACTTGAAGTGTATTAATCGTTTTCTCGAATGCATCAATAATATTCGGATTTTCGAAACTGTAGGCTAAATATAAAGCAGCAAAAAGATCTCCTGTTCCAGTAAATGATATTCCATTTCCTTGTTTTGAAATTTTTATTGTGCTTTTTATATTATTCGATTTTGAGCTTAGAAATGATAAGATTTCGTCAAAATTTCCAAAATCCGCACTTGATAACACAACTGTATTGACATTTCTCTCGTGAAACCAATTAACATGTTCCCAAACATCTTTAATATTTAATATTTTTTTATCACACAGCAATTCCATTTCATATTGATTTGGTGTAACAATATCAGCTAAGGGGATAACTTCATCTCTATAAATTGGCAGTAAGTCTTTTGGTACATACATTTTTCCATTATCACCCATTACTGGATCACATACGTACAATAAATTTGGATTTTTACTTTTCATTTTCTTTATGATCTCTATAATTTTCTTTAGAAAAGTCACTGATCCAATATATCCGGTTAAAAGATGACTATATTTTTGAATTAAATCATTTTTTTCTAAAGCATCATATAGATCTTCCAGATCGTTATCATTTAATATTTGGCCCTTAAAAATTTTATATCCAGTATGATTAGAAAATTGAACAGAATTTATACAATCCACTTCAAATCCTAGAATTTGTAACGGAAAGGTTGCCGATTTATTTCCAACGTAACCATGTACCACATGACTTTGAATAGATAGAACTCTTTTAGAATTCATTTTTTCAATGTTAGTTATGCTTTTGCAATTAAAATTTGCAAACTCAAAGATTTTGTTACCTAAAATTTTTAATAAAGATGAATTCCAAAATGAAAAAAATTACACAAAAAAAAAATTTCTGATAAGAACTATGTACTTTACTTTTTCTTTTTTTCAGTCATAAGTTTTCCACTGAACCATAAAATATTTTACAATGCTGACGACACCACATTCCTAACTGATATTTTGTGTACTCTAGATATTAGTTAATTACTTTATGCATTTAAATGACCTTTACAATTTGACATTAAATTAAAAATGATTAAAAGTAGCTTTGAAAATTCTATTTTGTCTTTACAATCATTAAAGTAAACAAACATTCCACTATCATTTTCGTACTCTTCTAACTTATCTATTTGCTTTTTATGTCTATTCTACTTATCTCTTCTTTAAAAAAATGTTACGACATTGCGACATATCTGTAAAACATATTTGTTAATCTGTAAAGGTTCTAACTTGACATTTTACTGAAACAATAATATAGGAAATTAATTCTGGAAAATAAGATACGCGGTTGACAGCAATACTGATAGAAATGATTTTTTGTAATGTCAAGATAAGATTTGTATATGTACATATTATATGTCAAACGAACTAGAGTAAAAACGAAATGCTAGGGTGAATAAAACTACCGGTGTTACCTGCAGCACATTTACCGGATTTTAAACAGAAAAACTACCTCTTTGCATTCTGTTAAAATTTACAGTACTATTCTGTTAAAATATTTATTTTTTTTTTAAATTTACTTAATTTCTTTATTCTATTTTAGGAGTATTAAACTAGTTGAAGGAAATTGTGTGTAGATTGTCATATTTCTTTACACGGATTTATGTTTTAATTTTTTCAGCAGGGTTGGGACTTTTACTGGGGTTCTTGATTAATATTTCTTCATAGATATTGTCCAAAATATAGATTTATCGATATTTTGGATATTTCTACTTTTTAAAATATTTACATTTTAAATTTCGAATTGACTAAATCATTAAATTGATTATCAAATTTCAAAAAATATAAATGACTTTGTTTTATTCTTTTCTACTTGTAGAGAAGATTTGTTTTGTTACGTAAAAAAATATTAGAAATTGAATTCGGAAATTAAATATAAAAAATTGCATATCCGAGAATTTAAAATTTTAATTTCGAAAACATATTATGTATGTTGTACTACATATGTATATAAAAATGTACCTACTACATGCACGTACATTAGCATACGAAAACGTTGTATCCATTAAAATTAATTTCGAAACAAAAATCTCCTGCCGTTTGAGCAATTTCCAATTTCAATATTTTCTTAATTTAATTATGTTATTTACAGTATTATAGGTACATAAATATAATATTATTAATATTATTGTTCAATATTTTTTTTGTAAATTCAATCCGATTTTTTAAAATTAGAATCATCTTAAATATAAGAAATATAAGAATTTTGCATCAAATTTTGAATTTATACTTGAAATATTGAGGAAAAAGGGTTATTTTGGTACTTTAAGCTAAGTATTTTAAACCGCTTGAAAACATCGTACATCTCAAAATTTCCATATTATGTGATTGACTTTCAAAAAGTTTTCAATACGCAAAATATGTGCATATGTATCTACATTTTGACATTGTAAAACTAATTTTGATCATGAGATAATGTTGAAAGCTTTCATGATCTTTTGCTTTACAATACTAATCATGCAAGATTGTACACGGAACGGTATCAAGCCGTCGTATGTAAAGGTACGTGTTAAGGCAAATTCCACATTTTTTCTTGTTACCAAAATACGAATGAAAATTAATCAATTACTTGAACTTCTTTAAAATTCTTATGTGTATATGTCGGAGGAATTATGCCAGACCTACTATAACATTGAATGAAATAAAAAAAACTTACGAAAAAAGGTCACTTTATTCATAGAAAATTAAAAACAATCTACATTTGTACATTACAAACATATATATATATATATATATATATATATATATATATATGTATGTAGTTTTTGACCAAAAAAACAAAAACAAATGTTAAATTCAATTTTTTCCAGCATCTTCTTTTAAACCGACAGTACGATTAAAAATAATATTATCTCCCTTGGTATTCGGATCTACCGAAAAGAAACCGATTCTTTCAAATTGAAATTTATCATACACTTTTACATCTTTTAAAATTTTATCAGCATATGATTTTAAGATTTTCAAAGAATCTTTATTGCAATCGGTTAAGAATCCACCAGGGACTTCATTCGAATCTTCTGGGTTTTTATGTTTAAATAGTAAATCGTAAAGTCTAACCTCAATTTCAAACGGTTCCGATACCCATTGAATAAATGCCTTTGGCTTCTCAGCCTTCTCTGATTGCTCGCAGACGCATACTAATTCAGTTACTTCTCCATCATTTCCCTTTTTCACTTCAACCACTTTTATAACCAAACCAGCATGCCTTAAGCCAACTGTTTGATCTAGTGATAAGCGTCTGTAACCTTTTTCTGGATTCAATTTGAAGTCACTTTTTTCAATAAATATAATTTTATCTAATATGATTTTATGTCCTCCTTTTTCAGGAGCTTGTGGAAAATCAGGAACATCAATTTCGATTGGCTTGGAGTAAGGAAAATTTGTAATAGTAACCTTCAACGGTTCTAAAACAACCAGCCGTCTTGGTGCTGTTAAATTTAATACATCACGAACAGATGCCTCCAACATGGCTGGATCAACACTTATCTGAGCTCCAGTGCACCCCATTTGAGCGCAAAAGTTATTTATGGCCTCCGCAGGAAAACCGCGACGTCTCAAAGCAGTTAAAGTAAAAAGTCTTGGATCATCCCAATCTGAACATATTCCTTCTTCAATTAATTTACCTATTTTTCTTTTAGAAACAACTGTATAGTTCATATTGAGACGTCCATATTCCCATTGTACAGGACAGTAAATATCTAAAGCATTGCACAACCAATAATAAGATGACCTACGGCTTTGAAATTCTTTGGTACATAATGAATGAGTAATATTTTCTATAGAATCACAAAGACAGTGTGTATAATCATAAGTTGGATATATGCACCAACTATTCCCGGTTCTGTGGTGTGGAATAAATTTAATACGGTAAGCAACCGGATCCATTTTTCCCTCTTCTAACGTAATTTTCATTCGTAGTGTAGCGTGTCCTTCATCTATTTTACCATTTTTCATGTCTTCGAAAAGTTGAAGATTTTCTTCAATTGGACGTTCTCGCCATGGGCTGGGAGGTGGATTAAAGCCTTTCATTTCTTCAGCAGATTGATGACATACATATGCTAATCCTAAAATTAATTTTTACAAGTAAAATCTGTTAATAATTGAAATAGTGATTACCTTTTTTTATTAAAATCACAGCCCAGTCATATAATTGTTGAAAATAATCAGAAGAATGTGTTATTTTATAAGGTTTATACCCAAGCCATTCTACCATGTCCTTGATACCAACAAAAAATTTTTCTTCTTCTTTCTCAGGATTTGTATCATCATAACGAAGGAAACATACACCATTATGAGCAGCAGCGTAACCGAAATTTATATTTATAGCTTTGGCATGACCTATATGCAGAATACCATTTGGTTCAGGAGGAAATCTTGTTCTCACCAAACCACCGGTTTCTGATAAATGAGCTTTTAGCAATTTCTCAGTATTTGGAGTAACAACGTAACCATCAGTTTTATAATTTTCTCCTGGAGCATGAAAATGAATTTTTGTTTTCATTAGCTCTGCAATCGTACTGGCACCGTCACTACTTTCTAGTTCATTCTTTGCTAAACTTGAAGTATTATTTGATGAAGGTTTAGATTCTTTCTTCCGTTCTAATTTTGGTGCCGGTTTTAAATCTTCTTCAGTTTTTGGTCCTAATAAATCAAGCATTTGCACATCAATTTCATTTTTGACAGCTTTTCCATCTGCCCATTTCAAACTATTGCGAACATCTTGCATTAATTTTCCTACATTAAACCGATATCTTTGGGTAAGAATCGCTTCTTTGTTTTGTTGTATTAATTTACTGACAGTGTCATCAATTTCCTCTGGTGTAACAACAACACCAACTCCACATTCTTTTTCAAAATCTGCTATATTTATTGCTTCACTTTTATGTCCATGCGTAAGCAAATATTCCAGTGCAACATCTATTCGTAAAGTTGAATCTAATTTCTTTTCTGTTATATATTTAACTAGAAATGGAAGTTTATCAATTATTTGTGGTTTAATTTTCGAAGCCATGTGATATATTAACATTCCAATTCCATCTTTTAATTCAATATTTGCACATTCTTGCAGAGCATGTTGGAGATTCTTCGTCACGTTTGCATTTTTAAGGGTTTCTTTTGCCTTTTGCTCCGACATTCCCAAAGACTGGAATTGTACCAATAAATTATCTTCAGCAGTCATTTTGCAATTTTTCTAAATTATTAAAGTGCAGCAACTTCAACTTTTTTTAGATAAATATGAGCAAATGAGGAAATTTTTTAGATAAATATGAAATCTGATGTTTCGGTTGCACTACACGGGTTCCAGTTAGTGGTGGGGAACTGCCGATAACACTATCGATATTATCGATAGTATCAATATTGAATAGCGTTCAAATACTGACATTATCGTTGTTTTCAAAATCGACATAATAATTGGTTGTGGTGACAAAATAAATTTTACCTTTTTTAATGAATTTGAAAGTATTAAACGAAAAAGATTTTAAAATAATAAATAGGCGATTATAATATGTCAAAATTTTGAATATTCACATCAAAATTAATAATCGAAATTAATTTTAGTAGTGAACTTAAAATAAAAGTTATAAAAATAATTAGGATACAAAGATTTTTGACAATTGCAAAATATTGGTTAAAATTACGCCGAGTGAAAAATAATCTACGTTCTACGTGAAAAAACGCAAGTCAACATTTGAGTGTTTCAAAATTTTGTACGGTAATGACTTCATCTGTTATTAAGTCTAGCGTGCTCAAATCTAGAAAATAATACAATTTTGAAGTGTTGCTTTGAAACTGCATCTTTATTTCATGCATTGCGGTTAAACACACTAAACAGATTTACTGTCAGATTTTTTAAAGCACAACGGTGAAAATTAGTTTTTTGTGAGGGTTTGGAAAGATTTAGCTGATTTTATTTTTATTATAATTTTCGCCTGAGTTTATCACATAGTTTTGATATTCTTACGTTCTGAAAATAATTATCAATCTTAGTAGTGGCATAAAGTTTAACGTTATATCGATATCTAATGGGGTTAATTAAAACAGCTGAGTTTGGCAATTATTACTTTTATACAGAAAATTTTAGATTCGTTTTGTTTTAGTATATTTCTATTAGTAAATAAATTAACAAAATCAGTGTAGGCTATCACATAATTTGAAATAAAATGGCTTTGCCGGTTTCTATTAACCGGCTAAATTTATGTAAATCTTTCTTTATTCAGATAAAGTCATTAAAAAATTTACAACTACAATCTGTAAGTTTACAAAATAATTCAACACATTCAAATTATAACCTAAGAATCACATGAGCAATATTTTTTAAATAATTTTGAAATTTTTAGGTTGCAAAATATTCAAATGAGGTGACTGTTGTCGCGGCGCCTTTGGCAGTTCAAAAACAAAAAACCTCAAAAGCCATGAAAGCCTATTTAGAGAGAGCAAGAGGACATGATGAGTTCATGAAAGCTCAAACGCTGGAATATCAAATTGGAAAAAGACATTTGGCTAACATGATGGGAGAAGATCCAGAAACTTTCACTCAAGAAGACATTGATGTAACTAACAAGTCGTTTATATGAACTCATTTAAAACATTGTAATATTTTTGTTTCTAGAATGCAATTGAATATTTGTTCCCGTCCGGTCTGTTTCAAAAGAGGGCGAGACCATTAATGAAAGAACCGGCAGAGATTTTTCCTCCTAGGAAAGCTGCAGAATTTGACGCTACTGGCAGGCCTTTTCATAGTATGTTTTATACAGGAAGGCCAAATTTTTTTAAGCTTCTTTATGTAAGATTTTTGATATATTTTTGCTAGTTAACCTAAATGTTAAGTTAATTGTAATGTAAGTATTTCGAAAATATATATTTTTTTGTTTGTAGGATATTGTCGAGGAAATTAACAATTTAAATGATTTTGAAGATAAAATGATTAGAAAAGGAACAAAACCTGATCCAAATCTAAAGTTGTAAGTAAGTTATTTGTTAAAATTACTAGTTTCGACATTATTTTTTTATTAAAAGAGAATCAACTGGATATCACTGGCTTCCAAAGGAGCAGTTAGAAAAAAAACTTGTAGAAAATATTTCTGATATTGAGTATTCTAATTTTATTCAAGCAATGGACAGGTTAATATCTTTACCATATTCATATAAATCAAAAGATTTTATACAAAACTATAGAAAAATTTTAATGGATCCAATGAAAAATGCAACAATTCCTAAGCCATTATTTGATGAAGATGGTAGACAGTATGTTACAACTTACGGTAATAAGTTTAAAAGTATGTTTAAATAACATTCTTAACTCAAAATATTGTTATATAAATTCTCAGAATGTCTAAGGAAAAAAGCTCGTGGTGATGTTACAGTTCGATATCCTGGAACTGGATTACTTGTAATCAACGGGCAAGATATTCATTATTTTGATAATATACAGTCAAAGGAACAGGTATGTGAATATTTTTCATTATGCTATATTTTGTTTTTTTTTTTCTATTGGATATCACTTCTTAATTATAAAATATTTAAAGAATTCTTATATGCATACATGTACATAAAAAGTGTTAGTTATACGGAACACGTAGATAAAAATAAATACAATTGATATTAATTTCTGTAAGTTTTTGAATTCACATATTTCAATTTTAAATTCTTAAAGTAAATTCGTTCATAAGAACGCGTATGAGTCAATTATTTTTATCTTGAAATATGAATATTTGTATCTGCATAATATGTATATCGTAAATATTTTACTAGATTATTTTTCATCTTATTTCATTTCATCACAAGTATAATATTTATTATTTTTATTACTATATGATGTGTATACATGTCTTTAGAATCTTAAGTATAAAGCTCGACATAATTCCATTTTTAATATTGTGAAGTCAAATAATATAAAATACAACAAAAATAATTTTTAAAAGAAGTATAGAAGAAAAATAAGAACTAAATATTTTTAAAGCATTTATTAAAAACGATTAAGAATTTTGGTCACTTAATTGGGCAATTAAATTCTTAAAAATATTTTTCATTATACATAAATTTTTAGAACAAGGTATAAAATAATTCCAAAAATTAGATGATAATTTTAACTTTCTGCTTTATATTGACATATAACTTTAATTTGTAAGTTTTATTCAATTTTTTATGTAGAGGCTAGAAAATATCCATAGGTAGACAATTTTAAAAAATTTTTGTTATATTCTTGTATAAATATAAGGTCCCACTTTGTCAAAACATAGAACGGTGTTAATTAAGTTAGTTAAACTTTAAATTTTTGTTTAATTCTGTAATTATATACTTATATTAATTTAACACTAGCGTTGACGTTAGCGTTTTACGTTATTTTCAGAATATTAATTTAAGAATTTGCTAAAATTATTTTTAAAAAATAATTCTGTATTCAATTAAATCCTAAAGTATCTTTATTTTTTTTTTTTATTATTAAAATTTTGAATCGCTATAATCGATTCAAAGAGAAAAAGTGTTGAATCAAAAAATATGTCTTCCTCAGCTTTTAAATTGTATACTTGAAGATTTTTCACTTAATTTAATTAATATCAAATGCACTTTAAATTTTTTTTTTAATTTAGATTCATTATCCATAAATAGTGCTAAAACTAGTCCAATTGACTAACCATCAGCGGTTAAACTGACGCTTCAATGTTAGCGTGTGTTGCTAACTTTTCATAATGCTTTACAGCGAATCGTTTTATTTCTTCTTGTACTGTTTTTATTTTAAGGTCTCTTTGAAAGTCAGCATTTCTAACGTACCATGGTGCTCTCACGATGTTTCTAAGTATTCTATATTGAAATCTCTCGATGATATCTATATGGCACTTACTAGCGCAACCCCATAGTTGTATTCCATAAAGTTATATCTGGTTCCATATTAAAAGTTTATTATTCATACTAAGTTTAGAGTAATAACCAATCAGCCATTGTAATTTTGCATGTCTAATTTTTAATTCTGTTAATTTGTTGTTAATATGATCTCTCTATAATAGCTTTTTGTCTAGTATCATTCCAAGATACTTGACATTTTCATCTTAAGGTGTGATTTAAATATGTTTAAATATGTTTAGTAAATTTTGGTAACATTGTTTATTTGTAAAATTTATGTGAATTGACTTTAGTCCATTTATTTTCATTTTCCATTTATCTGTCTATTTTAAAATTTTGTTGTTTGCATGTTGTAAATTTTGTGTTGATGAATTTATATTTTCGTCTACTGTTAATTTGTTAATTTCAAATGTAGTTACGTTATCGAAAGTTGGTAGATCATAAGTGTAGAATAGGTACAAGAACTTCCCTGCGGTACACCTGCCATTATTTTCCATTAATTCAGGGTATTGATCCTCAATTTTTACCCTAAACAGTCTGTCTAAACTTTTAAGTAAAGCAATAATAGTAGTCTGGTAGGGGGCAAAACAAATCTTTATATGCTGTTGCGATGCACTGCTATCCAATTTGTACAATATAATCTAAATTAAATATATATATATATATATATATATATATATATATATATATATATATTTTTTTTTTCCAAAAGCAAAACATATTGCTATTTGGATTTTTTAATTTTAAGACAACAATTTGATATTATTATAAAAAATTAAATTATATCAAATTTAATCTTGAAAAATTAAAATATTTTTTGTATTTAATTTTATAATGATAAAGTATTTTTAAATATATAAAATTAATCATTATATAAACATTATGCTACTTTATACATTTTTAAAAAGTAAATATACTACATAATATCTTTATCAACTTGAAATTACATACTTACTAATCTCAATAGAATTTTTTTTTTTAAATTTATTCTTGTTATTATTTAAATTGTTGGCTTTACGAGTATCAACATTTTAAGATATTCGTGAATAATATTAAGCTAAAAAATTTAACTGAAGGTGTTACAGTTTTTATTTTTTTGGTTTTTAGTTAATTTATATACATATGTACATATGTATATACAAAGCCAAAATGAAATTTGTACGTATATACGGGTGAGACTGTGATTAGAGCAAATTCTTTACAGAGCGTCATTCAATTAAAAAATATTTACCAAAGGGATTAACACAGTTGTCTTGATAAGTGCTATTGTGCTACTGTCTTGATAACTGCTATTGATTCGTACAATTTAATCTATGATATAATTTTCTGTAATATTATAAGATGATCGTAGAATTTTGAATAATTCTAAAATATTACAAAATATTAATTATTTTCAAAAATATTTTAAATATTTTCGTTGTTTCTATATTATTCCTACATGTGTATGTATGTGTTTGTATATATGTAAATAGTAATTATAATGTTCATGTATGGGAAAATAATCAAAAATTAAATAACAAATTTTTTATTTGATCTTGTAAATTTTTTGAAATCTTTGAAAAAAAAACAAGGAATGTCACGTTTTCTATTTAATAATAGATACTTCGTAAAATAAATTTTAACAGAAAATCGAATTTTTTAACGTATAACTAATATAAATATATTATACATAGCTATTTATATTAATTAAATGGTATTTACAAAAAAATCTGAAAAATGTCGATGGAAATTGTGGAATTTTTATTTATTACATTAAATATCCTTGAATTTTTAATAAGGCACATATATGTTACCTAATAATATTTCCATTTATAAAATATTTATGAAATATATTATGTTCCCATACTATATTTCGTGAATTTTTTTCCAAATTTTATTTATGTACGTATAATAAATTTAGATTTCTAGAAAAGAAAATGGTAATATATTTGCTGTATTTCATTTAAAACAATTCCAATTCGTAATTATTATTAATATTATTATGGTAACTTGATTGTTTTCAAATATTTTCTTATTATTTAATTTGTTAACGTGCTGATTTTCTTATGCACCTATTTTATTCTTGATGAATACCAAAATATGAATATATAATACTATAATATTGCTGAAAAAAATTCAGTATTTACAAATTTTAACAGGCTTTTACATTTTGTTTTTTAATCGAATTTCTTTCAAATTAATTATTAAAATTGCGATAGTTGTAATAATGAAATTTTACTAGTTACAGCAAATATAGCAATTTTTACTAATAAAACAATGTAGCAAATCGATTTTATTCGCTATTGTAATTTTGGAAATCGGACTTACCATCACAACATAAAAATTAGATTTTCTATTAAAACACAATAATATTATATTTTTCTTTTATTTGTATTTTTAATTAATAAAACGCATTAAATATTTATATTGCTACATAATAAACTAATATTATTATTTATTTATATTATTTTATATAAATAAATAATAATGTTGATTATATTATATATATATATATACATAGACGTACACACTTATTTAAATTATTTTATATAATTTCACTTCAAAATATTACACACAGCCATTATGTCATTTTTTTAATTTAAAAAAAAAAAAAATTAAACATGCACATACATTGTTATAATAAAAATTACTTTAAATTTAATTATTTTTTATACAATATAATCATTATTTAATAATCGAATAAATACAAATAAAATTTAATAATATGGAAAATTTTAATTCTAATATAAATTTAAGATTTTCAAATTAACTTATTTTTTGTTTTAAATATTTTAATTTAAAATATTCTTTAAAAAATTTTCAAAATTATTAAAAGTTTAAAATTGGAATAAGTTTCTGTAATCTTATTGAATCCTATTGAAAAGGGAAAAATGATATTTTATTTTTGCAAAACATTAATTTATTCTTCATTTTATTATATTTAATAAATTATTCGATATGGCCATTTCTAATTTTTTGAAAATAATAAAATTGACTATAAAAAGAAGTTTTCATAAATTTTGCCAGCGGGAATAAGTTTTTAATAAGTTGCAGAAAATATTAATTTTTATTATAACCTTTTTCTGTTTTTTTTTTTCTGTGAAAATGGTAACATTTTCAAAATCAAAAAGTTCAATAAAATTTTATAATAAAAATTTTTTACAATTCATTTTTTTGTAAAAGTACTTTTGAAGTAAATTGCAAAATTTTTAACTAAATTAGATTTGATTTGCCAAAAACAGATCAATGCATTCGAAATGTATATGTATATTGTATTTTTTTTGGTAAAACTAATACCTATATACAAATTTAATATAATATGAAACAATAAATCGTAATATTGTTAAATAAATTTCTCTGTTTTGCATTATTAATATTCCTTTGTTATTCGTTAGTGATTTCCCATTATAAAATATACTAAGATTTTCAAGTGAAATAATAAAATTATTAATTAATATCTATAAATTTTTTACTTACATTCTAACATTTTTTAATTATTTTATATTAATATATTTTGTTTTTGTTCTAACTTTGTTTTATTAATAAAATTTAATAATGTTATATACACATACGCTTTCATAATACTATTTTTGAATTTTATTCTAGAAATACTTAATATTTCTATTGGTTTATTTTTAATTAAAACTAACATTATTTATAATTTTAATTAATAAAATAATATATTTGAATTTATACAAGAAAGTGTTTTAAAATAGTATCTTAATTTCAAGATATTGAAGTAATATTGAACTGAATCAAATTTTGTGATTATTTTGTAAACTTAATTTGAAAAATTAAAAATAAAAATTTTTAATTATTTTTTCATTAATTTTTAAATATTTTCGAATTCACTTATTTAAAATTTAATTTATTGTTACTAATTAAATTAAAAGCGGAAATTTTGAATTTTTTTTTTTGAAATTTTATTTTATATGTTTAGATTTTGACTTTTTGTATTAATTTTTTTCAAAAGGACAAGATTTTTTAATATCATTATAAAAATCTGTACGATGAATCAAAGTAAAAGCTTTATAAAGCAACAAATTTGAATTTTGATATTTGTTTGTTGAATTCGATGTTTTTTAATTTCTAATTAAAATTTTAAATTTCTTTGAAATATCAAATTAAATATTACAATCCTATATCTTTGTCGGTAAAATTAGCATTTAATATTTTTGTGTCTCTCTCAAAAATTACATAATTATTTTGTTTTTTTCTTAAAGTTTATGTTTTTTTCAAAATTAGAGTAAATTATCACTTTATATATTTTGGTATACTGTATACATTAAAAAAATTTTTAAAATTCAAAATTTATTTTAATTTATTTTAAATATTACCGAAAATTTAAGATTTTTTAAATACATATATAATATGAAATATATTTAAATATGAGTCTATTATATTTTATTTAATATTATAAATTAATACTTGTTATTTATGGGTACATAAAAGCAAGTACTCTTGCTTATTTCTCAAAATAACACTTGATTCATTTCTTATATAAAATTATGTAAACATTAAAATATTGTTTAAAAATACATAATGTTTTTGTTTTTTTTTTTAAATTTAATATATTATATAAAATTAATTATTAATATTACATTCCTTTTTATACATTTTTATTACCTATTTCTTAAATAATATAACAATATAATTTATTTTTAAATTGGAGACAAGATTTGTGATCAATTAAAAATATTTATTATTGACATTAAAATTTATTATAAATTATAGAATCATAAAATTAATAAAAATTCGAATTATAATATAAAGAAAATATAAATTAATTATGTTATATGTATTATTTTTTTATAAGATTGTTGAGTTTGTATTGAGATTATAAATGAAATTAAAATAATATAAATATAAAACAATTATGTTGATTAAGTATTAAATGTTATAATATTTTCAATACAATAGATATTGTTAAGGCGTAACAAAAATTTTAAAGAAATGGAAGAAATTGTTAATTGAAGCGTTAAGAATTCGAGTTAATTGTATAAGTGATCTCTATCCATACATTTCTATATTTAAAATATAATTCTTATTATATCGCTTTTTTCAAAAAATTAATATTATATAATTATATTAAAACTTAATTGATTTTATATTTTCTTAATTTCAAAACTAATTAGTTTTAAGATTATATGTATATATATAAAAATTAATTGACTAATTGTTATATTTTATTTCTAATAATACTTGATTTTATTAAATCACTTTATTAATTTTATGATTCAATTTATGATGAAAAATTATTATATAAGTAATAGACATATATATTTAATTAAATTTCAATTATTTGTACAAAAATTTTGAATATTTTCTCTAAAAATCTCTTCTATATACTTAATATTAATATTTTTTTTTATGCTATAACATTTGTGTTATAAAAAAGTTTTTAATTTAAACTAAAATTCATTCAGAAAATATTATTGGTAATATTTTATTTTGAATATTTGGACAGAGTTGAATTTAATTGGGACGGTTGCAGTTATAATTACTCTGATAATTATGAAATTAAGATAAAAATAAACTGAAATATCTCAGATGTGTGAGATTTTCATAATACACAATTTAAGTTTTACCGTCCTTTTATAATTTTTTTTTTTAAATTACCAAAAAAAAAAATTTACATTATACGAGTAACAATTAAAATTTGATAAGAGAAACCAAATAATTCAAAAATCTTTAACAATTATTTGAAATATTTAAAATTGGTAATGAATATTTACAGAAAAAAAAAATGGAAATAAAAATGTTAATAAGATATTAGATGCAATTGGTCGCTAATTATATACACAAATATTTGAATTAAAAAATTTTATCTATACATTTAATTTATTATGATTGAATGGAGATTATTTTTTAAAATTATTCCTTTGTTGTTGATTTGATATTACCAATAATAATTTATCAATAACTTTAGTAGCTTGCTGTTGTTGTTGAAATAAAGCTGCTTTTAATTCTTGTATTTCAGTTGTTAATTGATCTAAACGTTCAGCATTATCATCAATTTTTGTTGTTAATGTACATAAACTCATTGTATCATATTCAGTTTCTGTATGTGGTCCACTTTGTAAATAACTATTACATTTCATATTGCTAGAACTACCGTTATTACCATTATTACCATTTGAATTATTATTATTATATTTGTTTTTATATGAAAAATATGTTGCAGCACTACTTTTTGCTGATATTGTATGACCATTATGTTTTCTTTGTTTACCAACTTCATATGCATTCATTAATATATCACGTGGTAATCTTTTTTCACTTGGATTTAATGGTTTAACACATAATACAACTCTATATGCTTGTGGTGATACTAATGCTGTATAATGTAATAAATTTCTTAACCATGTTGGTAAATAACCATTAAATAATGCTGATTCAATATATGATATTAATTTCGTTTGTCTAACTAATTTTGAAAGACCAGCTGTTTTTTTTAATCCTTGTATATCATGTACAGCAATACCAACTAATAAATTCATTAATATTATTGTTACAAATAATAGGAACAATACAAATGTTATTTGGGCACTTATTTCTAATAAAAATGGTGGATCTTTTCCATCTGGATCATTAATTAATAAAGATAAATCTTGTTCACCTATCATCATAACTAATACTGTTATAAAACCCATAAATGGATTTGCAAATGATGACGATGATGGAAATATAACACAAAAACTTATCGTAAATCCAACTAGCATACATGAATATGCCATAAATAATTTTGCAAATTCACCTTGAACTTTTGTATACATCGCAACATAAACATCAAATACTGGTAATTGACCAATCATTAACATTAAATTTGTCCAACCTAATAATACAGCAAATGCACCGATATGATTTTGAAATGTATATGTTTGTTTCGTATAAATATATGATATAACAAATACACTTGTAATAACAAACCATTCCATACTATTTTCAACTTGCATAAAATATTGCCGAACAGACGTGTAACCTGTTATACCGTACAGCTTTCGAAATATTTCAATAATCGTTATTGCTACTAAAACCCACCATTGCATTTCCATAACAAAAGGATTATTACGTAACATATCACCTAAAATTGATTGCTTCTGGCATAATTCCTGTGCTAATATTGTTGTATTATCATCTTTACTGCCATTATAACAATTATGAGCTAGTGCCGTTAATACATATAGAGTCAAAAATAATACAAATGTAAAACAGAATATTAATCTGCCAATATAATATTTTCGTATTTTACCCCATTTTATATATAAAAATGCTGAACATAATGGATGCTCCAAAATTTCTTTTTGTCCTTCATCAACAAATGTATTCAAATAACTAATTTCTCTTGGGTGACAATGTTGTAATAATTGACGAAAATCTAATTCCAATTCAACTTCACGATTAACAATATCCTGTGAATGGTGTAATGTTATTGCTGCATCTAATTTTTGTTGTATCATTGCAACTGATGCCGGTGTTTTACGTGTTATGACATTTAATGCTGTTGTACCTTTTTTAGATTTTGTTGTAACATCAGCACCATGATATATAAGCATTTCAACACATTGTGCTAAACCATCTAATGCAGCTAAATGTAAAGCTGTAAAACCATAAATATCTTTATGATTAACATTAGCACCCCATGATATTAATGTTTCCATAATATCGAAAGCATTTTCCGATTTACCAACAGCTGTATGTAATGGTGTTCTCTGATCAAAATCTTCAGCATTTGGATCAGCATTACCATTACGTAATAATGATTCAACACATTCCAAACTTGATGTTCTAGCAGCTAAATGTAGTGCTGTAAAACCTCGATGATTTTTTAATTTTGCATCAGCACCTTTGGCTAATAATAAATCAACGCATTCACAATTACCTTCATCAGCTGCTAAATGTAATGCAGTTGATTCTTTTTCTCTTATACAAATTCTAATATTGGGATCGGCACCTTCCGCATTCAATAAAGCTTCCAAACATTGTGATAAACCTAAATCAGCTGCCAAATGTATTGGATTTGTACCATTTGGTTTTAATGAATTAACATCAGCACCTTCAGTTATAAACAATTGTACACATTCTAATGAATTTGCTCTTACAGCACAATGTAATAATGATTCTTCACAATTTGGTTTTGTTGTATCTTTTGTTATTAATGCACCATTATTTATTAACATTTTAGCTGTTTCTGGTGAATTACCAAAAGCAGCACAATGTAATGGTGTATAAGTTTTTGGTTGTAAATTGACATCTAATTTTTTTGATATTAAAAAATTTGTTGATGCTAAACAGCCACTAAATGCTGCCAAATGTAATGCTGATATACCATTTTGATCATAAAAATTTAATTCGGCACCACATAATATTAAGCCTTCTAATAAATCCCAACGTTTTAAAAATGATGACCATAAATATGATAAATTTTTTTCAATTTTTGTTGTATTCTCATATGATTGTTGTACATTTTCAGAAATAATATTTCCATTTTCAATTTCTTCAAATAAACGCATACGGCCACCGGCCGCTTTCATTTGATCTATTAAACTATTACGTAATGTATCATGACATATTAATACACTTAATTCACTTGTTGGCTCTTCAAAACTATCATACATACTAGGTGCACTTTCAGCTGGTGGTGATGGTCCACATTCCATATATTCAAAATCACTTGTTGGATATTGGGCTTCTATCATAGATTCAGGATCATTTCGCCATCTTACCATCATCCCAGGTGAAACTGTTTTAAATCTAAATAAATTAATGAAATAATAGAAAAGAGAGAAAAAAATATATATTATTTAATTAGAATAATATCAATTGCAAAAATGTAAATATTTTATTAAATTTAATAACAGTAAAAATCACAAATTTCTATAATATTGGCATGTAATGCTTATAGAACCTCAATTATATGTTCGATCATATGACTTTGGTGTTCGATCATTCGCAGTGACTTTGGTGTTAATTAATTTATTAATTTAATTTTAACTGTTTCAATATAATTGAAAAAGTCTCCAATCGACACTTTCTATTTGAAAATTGACTTTTGCACAATTGAATTTGAAGTTTCGAAATAAAATTTTTCAATGAAATTTTTTACCATAATTTCACAGTTTTCTTTTGAAAATATAATGTAAGTTACATTTTTAAATCCCAACTTCTAAAAATTCTTGAATATTTAAATACTTATATGTTTATTTTCTATAAAATTTTAGAATTCGTATTGTTTTTTTTTATTTAACCCTCTATGTATGACAATAACATTGTGTTATAATTACATTAACTTTAGATGACAAGTGACACTTAGAATTACATATCGGTCGTATGTTGCAACAATGAAATAACTCAAAAATGCTATGTCTGACTTATTTATACAGATATAAGTACTTAAAACTTCTCTAATTTAAAAAATGTCGCCCATATAAAAAAATACATACTTTATAAAAAAATGTATGAATAACGAGAAAAAAAATATTAACCTCAAAAGTTTAAAATTTGGTTTTCTCAAATATGCAAATTTAGAGTTATGTCACGATGTGTATTTTGTAAAAGGGCGATTTTATATACAAAATTATATTTAAAAAATTTATTTATTTTCTTTTATAATTCTAAATTGGCAAATTTTTAATTGAATTCACATTACTGTAACATTCGTTCTTCAAAATTTTAAATTAAATAAAATTTATTTATTTAAAATTTATTAAATTTGTGTATTTTTACTGTTTTCATTGCATATTTATTAAACACTAAATCTATAATTATTATTTTACTAATTGCTATGTAATTATTTTCAATTAATTATTTTTTTACCAAAAAATTTGGTAAAATTACCATTTAGAACACACATTACACTGATATAAAAAAATATGTACACAAAATTAAAGTGTTGCCGTATTTTATTTAAAAAAATGCGTTAAATTTTTATTCATAACAATAATTCATATATAACGGTTATATCATAACCGTTTAAAATTTAATGATTATTTAAAAATGGGAAGTAAAGAATTAAAAAAAATTACCATTTCATAATAATTTAATATTATTGTATATACATATATATATTTTATAATTAAAAAAATAAAAACACAAAAATTATTTACAAATTAATTGTTTTACATAAAAAAATTTTAAATTTCTAAAAAATTAAAATAATATTCAATAATTTTTCATAATTTATTCGTATGAATTTTTAAAATTACAAAATAATTTTAGTTTTTTTATTAAAAATAGAAAATTTTTTTAATTTGTTTTTGAAATTCCCGTCGAACTTTAAAACTTTCTAATAATTTTAATTATACTTAAGTTCTGACTTCGACCATTTCACTAGTAATACTAATTTATTAGTATTGTTCTATTGAAAATTTTTTTCCATCATTTTTTTGTTCGCCATTTTGTTGTTTTTTTTATTTTTAATTTTGTTTGTTGTTTTTTTTTTTTAATTCTGATTCAAATTAAAGAGCTTAAAACGTGAAAAAATGAATGTTTTATTTGACAGGTATGTAATTTTATGAAATATGTATATGCAATTTATTTATATTATTGTTATTATTATTACTTATTATATATGTACAATGAAATTTTAATAATAGGTACATATGTATGCACATATGTATATAATACTTTGTAATAATTGTTTTTTGTATATAGAAACACAATTCATATTCAACAATTTTTAATTATTTACGACAGGGCTTTAAGACAGAAAAATATTTGATGATAATTTTGTCAGTTCATATACATTTGTTAATCATCTCTTTTCTGTATTGTGTATTGAACTTTGTACCGTTATCATTTATTTTTATTATTTTTTTTTTTTATCGATAGAATAAAATCGGGGCACAGAAAATAAATTTCTACTAAAATCTAAATTTACTGTTTCAAAAGGGATATTGAAATAAATTTTTAAACAGTGTTTTTACAATCGTATGCCATGCTTTTGTCAAATTAATAAAAATAATTTAAATACAAAATTCCTGATATTTTATAAATAATATAAAATAAAGTTGCTTATGCGCAATTAAAATCAGATATTTTTTAGTGAATTGTCTTAGTGAATTCTGAATTTTGTTTTGAGGCTCATGATGACATTGATGTGAGCGACTACCGAAATGCTAAAATGTGAGCTAGACTTATTCTACAATTTATTTTAGTAACAAAGATGAAACGTAAGGCATTTAAAGCCATTATGGGTAGAATTTGTTATTTTTTTCTTAAAAAATACAAGATATCGCAATGCTGACAGATTAAGAGCAATATGGTAACCATATCGTCTTGAATATTTAGTATGTACATAGGCACAGCGATAATATTGTTTCTGATAAATTATTCGATATCAATTTTACAATATTCCCATAACATTTCCTATTTTAGCAATAACCATTTTTTCTGATATCTTGATCGTGAATCTCGTAATTTTACTCACCAAGTGAGTGAAAAGAATTAAGCGCTGCTATAGGCAAAAGAACGTTAGCCACCTATTGAATAAGTATTGTATTACTATCTATATAATTATAATTTAATAACATTACTTATTTATTTTTAAAAATTAATTAAAAATAATTTAAGTTAAAATATATTATCTTTAATTAAGAGAATTAACAGCAATTACAAAATATAATTGTGTTTCTCCTCTGTCCTTATCCTATGACACGAAAAGTTGTCCGAAGCCCTCTTAACTCATAAAAAATGAGTTAATAATTTAATAAGTTAATGAGTCTAATAACTCATAAAAAATTTAATTTGGCGGCATATTAAACCATTTTAAGTTCAAAGTGAAGCACTTCTGCATATACCCTCGCTTTAATATCTCTTGATTTTTTAAACTGCAGAATATATGAAAGTATGTATCTGTTAATTATAGTAAAAATATCTATATAATTTTAGTTATTTTAATTAGATTTGTACGTGCTAATAGTATATAATACGTAAATAACTATAGGATTGGTGATGATCATGGCACTTATGGTTGTTTTTTTTTTTTGTTCAATAAATTTTTTAAAGTAAATTTTATTTTCTTTAGAAATTTTTTAGAAATTTTTGGTGCTAATTAAATTTGTAAATATAAATGAAATATTTTTAAATATATTGGATGAGAAAATAAAGTGATTTTTAACACAATGATTATGATAAAACGCTTGAAATAAATATTTTTTTTTTTGTAAAAAATTTAATGCCACAGTGTGTTTATTTTTGTGTTTTACACAAAACACTTGATGTCTCTCGCGTTAACAAATCTTGTTTTGTTTATAAAAACTTTCCAAAAGATTATTAAAAAAATTATTGAAAATTAAATGGTAGTTTGTCATAATTAAATTTTTCTAAATGATTATTAAATGAATTCCACTTTTATAATTTCGTTATAAAATAAATACTAAAATGAATTAACTTACATGCTGCCCTAATGCAATATTTTGGCATAAAATAATGTTCTTGCAAGATATTGCAATATGCCTCTGGCATCCTTGTTAATTTCTTGAATGATAATTAATGAAAACTCAGTGTAGGAAAACATTCAATTTGTTGTACAATTCAATATACACAAAAAAAATTCCATTTAATTAGATTATTTAATAGTTTACACAAAAATTTATTTTCAGAGTGTCAAGATATAATGCCAACTATTCACTCGTATGTATATTAGTAAAAAATACAGAATAAGTAAAAGAATTGTTTTGATTTTCAATTCCATAGTCCACAAAATTCTTTTGTCAAAAATACAATTAATTTTTACATATATATATGGAAGGATAGTGTAAGAATAACAAATCTTATTGAAATATTGTGTTGAATGTTGAAAACATAATGTAAATTGGAAATAATGATGCTAAAGGAAGACAAATGTATTGAGGCGCTTAATTTTGTTCAAATCGAATTTGTTCATGTTTTTGTAAATCTATATTTAAAATTAAATATAATTATATACCTATTTGATCCAGATAAAGGTGCTTCCTGTTCATTTTTAGCAAGTACACTTGATGTTCTATTTATGCGACGTGTTTTTGCTGTACCTTCTTTATAACCTAAATTTTCCATAACTTGTAATCCAAGGGTCAAGTTTAGGAAATTTTATTTTTTACTTATCAATTTTTTTTTATTTTCTGTATTGTTTCTATTTAAAATATTATTGATATATTAAATTTTCAATATAATTTTTTATATTTAAAAATTTCACTATAAATTCGTATTTATTTATTTAGTCTGTTTTTTTTTTATTTAATTAGAAATTAATGATTATAAATGTTAAGATCTTTTTAAATTGTCACTCATTAATAGGTTTTAATTTTCGTTATGTTGGCAATGCTGTAATATTGAAAAAAAAAATATTATTTATGATTTGTAAAATTACTGTACAGTAATTTTACAAAGTCTGATTAAATTTAGCTTCAAATTTTACCAATATTGATAAATATATATGGCTTCTTCTAAATGCACACTCCCTATATAATTTTGTAAATGTATAACAGAAATACAATATAATTTAGGTTATTATAATATTATAAAAATTTTTAATTCAAAGACGGATTAACATCTACAAATTAAGTTAAAATATTAAATTAAACTCTTTATTAACAGATCTTATACTCGTAATAAGCAGTTTTCTGTATATTGTAAAAAAATGCAAACACTTTATTGTATATCACGCGCCATATATCGCATCGCACCTTAAAGAAATTTTACAATGTTACGCATTTCGAATTGAATAAAATCAAAACCGTACTTTCGAAAATTTTGGATGCTTTTTATAAAATTAAGTTTTATTTTATGTTAAGTATTACAAATATAAATTAGCCAATATGTATTTAAATTTTGTTTTTATTTGACATTTGCAAAGTCATTGTATTTAATTTCGATTTTAAATTCGGTTTAAAGGCAGTTTTATGGAAAATTACTGTTTGAAAATATCAATTTAAAAATTATTAGAATTTATTACATTTATTTAAAATTTCCGATTTTGATTATCATACAAACATAAATTTCAATTGTCAAAAAAATGTCAAACTATTAAAAATTTAAAAGTATTTTAAACATTCTTATAAAAGTAATGTATATAAAATCAATAAATTAAAATTGAATATTTTTTTTTAATTAATTTAAAGTCAACAAATTAATATTTTAAATTGAATAAGCTACCCCTCTACGTTCAATGAGAACGACAACTACAACGGCTACTTATTACAAAAACAAATTTTTGGTGTCGTTGAATTAAATGAAATTTTAATTTAGTCCTTGTAGTTGAAAATTTGACAAGCGGAACTTAGTGGAACTAGAACACACTTCATTGTCAAGTCGTTATCAAGCCATTGTCATATTAAAACAAAACAAATTGTTTGTTTTCTTTTTCACAGAAAAACATGGCCGCTTTTTTTTATTTTATATTTATATGTTTAACGTATATGAATTAAATATTGTAAAAATGCCTATTTAATTTGAAAATTTTGGTTATGATAACACTATAATTTGGAAAATTATAGTGTTATTACAGGAGTGGTTACTCCTGTTGCATTTTGCATTAACCACGGACGCAAATATTTGTTAATAAAAATTTTTTCAAATGTAATTCTCATTATTTCATAATTAATTCTCATTATTTTATCAAATGTAATTAATTATTTTATAATTTCAGCGGTTTCCTACTTTACTTAATATTATAAATTTTTTTGCTTTTATATTCAAATCACTTTGAATTTATAATAAATATTTTTATTAATTTTACTAATGTTATTAATTTCATAAACCTTTTCATAATCTAGTATAAAGAGTTTCATTTCATTTTTAAAATATTCTTATATATAATTTTAATTGTTTTATTTATAAAACATAACTCATCATATAAATTAGATAGAAATTTAAATAATTTTTTTTGTAACATTATAAAAATTTAACAAACATTTCCTTTTTTACACTTTCAAATATTTTTAATCTGATATTGATAATGTTCTTTTCTAAAATAATTTAATTGTCTATTATTCAAAAAAACCAAAAAAAAAATAGAAGTATAGACTTTAATACAGATTGCATAATTTTATAATTTTACCTTCATTGTTAATTTATTTGCTTTTAATGTCAAACAATATTAATCAAACATTTTTACAATTTAGTTTATAAATTTTCATATATACACATACCATATGTAATTAATTCACTTTAAATTAAATTTTATTAACTGTTTATTTTATACATATATAATTTATTTAGTTGAAAATCAAATAATAATAATATTAAATCAAATATAACACAGCATGTATGGATTTCGAACATTTTTATTTGATTAAAATGTCAATTGTTTAAGAGAATTTTATTGTAATTTTCTCTTTTCTTTTATACAATTTTTTTTTTCTTATTTATACAATATTAAAATTGTGAATTGTTTTGATTTTAAAGTATAATTGTTAATAAATTATCATTCATTTTTGAATATAATACATTCAATATAATTTCATTCACAAAAAAATAACTTATTTGTTATACATACGTTCAAAGTTCAAAAAAAAAAAAAATTTTTTTTTTAATTAATGTAAATTAATTTTATACTTGATGTTTTACTATTAATGTACAATTGAAGACATTTTGTTGAATTAAAAGATTTGGCGATATGTTATATACGATATAATAATATCGTATATAATATCGTAATATAAAATATCGGATTATATAAATATTTTTTATTATATATAGACTCCTCATTATTTTAAAAATTTTTTGAATAAAATTACTCTTAATTTATTATACAAATATGTTATACTAAACAAGTATATACGATATTAAACAATTATACTGTTATAAAATCATTCATTTATTCAAATAGTTTTTTATGATTTATGCAATTTTATTGAAACTGATCAGTCAATTTTTATTACATACTCGTATAATACATACATAAATTTACTTACTACAATTATTATACAAATTCGAAATGGTGGCTGTTGTTTTTAAATAGATTATCCTTAGAACATCATACTTAATTAAATTATTGTAAATTGATTAAATTTTAAATATTAAGTATATATTTAGTACATATTTTTTTAAATCGACAATATAATGGCAACAAAAACTATTAATATAATAGTAATTAAAGGAATAAAATTTGCTGGAAGTCTGATTTGCTGCACGATATTTGTTTGATTTATTTTGAAATGCAAATTGAGGTGCGATTGAATTTCTTATTTATTATTTAAGGTGCGATATACGAGTATGGAGTGTGATATACAATAAAGTGTTTAATTCCAATTAGATTTTCATTAAATTTTATTGAAATTAAAAAGAAGGGAAACTATAAGGGCTCATATAGATATGCAATTTTTAGTTTTGCCATTGATGTTTGATTGTAGAATCGCTGCGTGCACATCAAACCAACTAAATTATTGCATTAATTTAAATCGAATGTGTTAAATAAAAATTGCAATCAGTTTGTAAAAAATTACAAACTGTTTGATTGTTTAATTGCATGCGATCATACAGTTGAATACAAACCTATATGGAATACAAATAAGCATAATCAAACAGTTGCAAAATTAAAAATTAAAAAAGTTGCAAAACCAAAAATGTGCATCTGGACCCTAAAATTTTCTTTTAGATATTTCTGTTAAACGTTTGTTTTAGTGTCTTATTTTTTATGATCTATCAATTTTTCGTTTTAGAAAATCTGCAATAAGCAAGTAAATCAGTGCTGATAATATTATATGCCTTAGTAGCTTAAGAAACAAATTTAAATGTTCTTACTATAAAATAGATTTTAATTTAATGTTGCTCATCTAATGATTAAAATTTTTTACAAAATTATTCTAATCAAAATTTCTAAAATTCTAAAAATATGAAATTATCTAATTTACAAATAAAAATGAAGCAATGTAAGCTATATAATATAATTTTACGTTGTTAAAGCATAATTTACGAATTATTTATTTATTAATTCATTTTTTTTTTCAACTGCCCATAACATAATTTATCATCATTAGCACATATTTTGTATTTTAAATATACATTCCAATTTAAAACTTGAAATGAAATTGTAGACAAACTGGATTTCATTCTTTTAAATAACTGAACAACTCATTTATAATATGTAAAAGGGGTTAATGATTTGTTAGTATAAATTTACCGAAAAATAATTTTGATTTTATTTTTTGTTAATTCTTTTCATCCTTCTCTTAATTATTCCGAGTATCGGGAATTCTAAGAATTTCAATTCAAACATAAATGTTATTTATTTTTTGTTTTCTCAAATCTTAATTAATTGATTTTATTTAATATTAAAAATATGAAATCATCAACAAAAATTAAATATTTTAGTAATATTTTTATTAAAATTTAAGAAGAAAAAAATTTAATTTATTTAAATAATTATTTAAAAGGATCAATTTGTTTTTGTTTTACGGAATTTTTTTTTTTTATTTTAAAAAGCCTATACATTAAATAAAAATGTTGATTTTAAATTGATAATTGAAATTCATGAAAACATTCTTATTGCGATTATTTTGTGAGTCTGTCTGTTGTTTGTAAAATATGTACGTAGGCATCCAATAATTCGATTAAATTTGCACACCTAAAAGTATGCTAAAATTATTTTTTTTTTAAATTATTTGATATTGTGAATATTGCGAATAATACCAGAGTAATAATGGCTCTTATTACTCCTTCAGGCAATATGAGATTGAGTACAAACTCTGATTCTTTTAATCTTATTTGTCAAAATCCTGTCTTATTAAAATTTATTAAAAATTTATTTTTCAATTTTAATTATTAAATTTGGTGGCAAGAAAATGAAATTTATATAATTTGTCTAAAATTTTATTTCAATTTGGAATGTGTATTTATGAAATAGTTAAAAAAATCAACTTGAATATTGCTAAATTCAACACATTTGCTTTGTTAATGAAAACAAAAGTTGAATTTCGATTTTTTTTTGTATACTAACAAAAATTACCTAATAATATTAAAACAGAATTAGATTATATGGAATAAGAATGTACCGCGACCAGACAAAAATTCTTAAAGTGTTGCCTTAAGAAATAAGGACATCTACCTATATGCAATCATTCAAATAACTTTAATTGCCGAATAAATCAAATTTAAATTGTGTCTGCATTTAGGTGTTAACATAAAAATTTTCTTTTTTTAAAGTGTTTCAATTAAATAACATGAAATTTATTTTTTGAATGTCTACTTTTAATTAAGAAACCTAATCAAATTTCTTATATTAAAACTTCAAATTTAAAATCATTGAAACACAATTTATTTGCAAATGGATTATCATTAGATATATGTACATACATGCAAAAATATTTTATTGACAATTGGAC